GGGATGTTTTTTATTATGTTACTTAAATTGACGCACCGGTGCGTCAATAGACTAGGGGGTTTAAGGGCCGGTTTCGCTGACACAGAGTAAGCCTCTAAAATTGCCAGTGTAGAAATCCCCTACCATAACCCATGTGTAGCCTACAACATGTATTCCATTTTATTCACACTTAATAGACAATTGTAAATCAACTATTGTGAATTTGGTGACAGTAATATTACAGGCAAGACAAATTGTAGGCTATAACATGGGACACACATTACAGTAACATCTAGATAAATTGTTGCAAGTAGGATATTGCATTTATTTATGTTAGAAATTTGGATCACATGTAGGCCTATGTAATTCGATTGTAAGGATGTAAGGATAAAGATGTACAGTGGGGGAAAAAAGTATTCAGTCAGCCACCAATTGTGCAAGTTCTCCCACTTAAAAATATGAGAGAGGCCTGTAATTTTCATCATAGGTACACGTCAACTATGACAGACAAATTGAGAAAAAAAAATCCAGAAAATCACATTGTAGGATTTTTAATGAATTTATTTGCAAATTATGGTGGAAAATAAGTATTTGGTCACCTACAAACAAGCAAGATTTCTGGCTCTCACAGACCTGTAACTTCTTCTTTAAGAGGCTCCTCTGTCCTCCACTCGTTACCTGTATTAATGGCACCTGTTTGAACTTGTTATCAGTATAAAAGACACCTGTCCACAACCTCAAACAGTCACACTCCAAACTCCACTATGGCCAAGACCAAAGAGCTGTCAAAGGACACCAGAAACAAAATTGTAGACCTGCACCAGGCTGGGAAGACTGAATCTGCAATAGGTAAGCAGCTTGGTTTGAAGAAATCAACTGTGGGAGCAATTATTAGGAAATGGAAGACATACAAGACCACTGATAATCTCCCTCGATCTGGGGCTCCACGCAAGATCTCACCCCGTGGGGTCAAAATGATCACAAGAACGGTGAGCAAAAATCCCAGAACCACACGGGGGGACCTAGTGAATGACCTGCAGAGAGCTGGGACCAAAGTAACAAAGCCTACCATCAGTAACACACTACGCCGCCAGGGACTCAAATCCTGCAGTGCCAGACGTGTCCCCCTGCTTAAGCCAGTACATGTCCAGGCCCGTCTGAAGTTTGCTAGAGTGCATTTGGATGATCCAGAAGAGGATTGGGAGAATGTCATATGGTCAGATGAAACCAAAATAGAACTTTTTGGTAAAAACTCAACTCATTGTGTTTGGAGGACAAAGAATGCTGAGTTGCATCCAAAGAACACCATACCTACTGTGAAGCATGGGGGTGGAAACATCATGCTTTGGGGCTGTTTTTCTGCAAAGGGACCAGGACGACTGATCCGTGTAAAGGAAAGAATGAATGGGGCCATGTATCGTAAGATTTTGAGTGAAAACCTCCTTCCATCAGCAAGGCATTGAAGATGAAACGTGGCTGGGTCTTTCAGCTGACAATGATCCCAAACACACCATCCGGGCAACGAAGGAGTGGCTTCGTAAGAAGCATTTCAAGGTCCTGGAGTGGCCTAGCCAGTCTCCAGATCTCAACCCCATAGAAAATCTTTGGAGGGAGTTGAAAGTCCGTGTTGCCCAGCGACAGCCCCAAAACATCACTGCTCTAGAGGAGATCTGCATGGAGGAATGGGCCAAAATACCAGCAACAGTGTGTGAAAACCTTGTGAAGACTTACAGAAAACGTTTGACCTGTATCATTGCCAACAAAGGGTATATAACAAAGTATTGAAAAACTTTTGTTATTGACCAAATACTTATTTTCCACCATAATTTGCTAATAAATTCATTAAAAATCCTACAATGTGATTTTCTGGATTTTTCTTTCTCATTTTGTCTGTCATAGTTGACGTGTACCTATGATGAAAATTACAGGCCTCTCTCATCTTTTTAAGTGGGAGAACTTGCACAATTGGTGGCTGACTAAATAGTTTTTTCCCCCACTGTATTTAAGCTCTGTCACGATCGTTTATGAACGGGACGGACCAAGGCGCAGCGTGATATGCACATATGTTTATTAACGAATAAACACAACGACAAAACAATAAACAAACGATACGTGAAGTCCAAGGCAGCACAACACAACATACCTTAACACGGAACAAGATCCCACAACCCACTAGTGCCAATAGGCTACCTAAGTATGGTCCCCAATCAGAGACAACGAGCTACAGCTGCCTCTGATTGGGAACCACCCCGGCCAACATAGATCTACACATACTAGATCTAACATAGAAAATCAACAAGGCAAAACACAACACAGAAAATACACACCCTGACTCAACAAATACGAGTCCCTTGAGTCAGGGCGTGACAGTACCCCCCCCCCCCCCCAAAGGTGCGGACTCCGACCGCGCCACATAAACATAACAGGGTAGGGGCCGGGTGGGCATTCCGCCTCGGAGGCGGATCCGGCTCCGGGCGTGACCACCACTTACTCTCCACCTCCCTGTTGCGCCCCTGGTCTGGTCTGGACCTCGGCGCGCTGCTTCCCCTCTCCTTCCTCCCACAACGTACCAAGCCCTGTCTGGACCCTGGTGTGGGAGACCCCGAACCTGGAGAGGGGCTGACGTCTGGGTCTGGACTGGAACCGCTGACTGGAGCTGGACCCGACTACGGTGGATCGAACTGCTCTGACTCCGGAGTGGAGCCGCTGATCGGAGCTGGATCAGGCACCGGTGGAGCGGACTGCTCTGGCTCCGGAGTGGAGCAGCTGACCGGAGCTGAACTGGGCACCGGTGGAGCGGACTACTCTGGCTCCGGAGTGGATCCGCTGACCGGAGTTGGACCGGACCCCGGTGGAGCGGATTGCTCTGTCTCCGGAGTGGAGCCGCTGACCGGAGCTGGACTGGACCCCGGTGGAGCGGATTGCTCTGTCTCGGTGCCGGACCAGGCACCAGTGGAACAGGCACGGGCCGTGCCGGACTGGACACACGACACCACTGGCTTGGTGCGGGGAGCAGGAATGGGCCGGACCGGGCTGACGACGCGCACCACTGGCTTGGTGCGGGGAGCAGGAACGGGCCGTACCGGACTGGCGACGCGCACCACTGGCCTGGTGCGGGGAGCAGGAACTGGCCGGGCCGGGCTGGCGACGCACACCACTGGCTTGGTGCGAGGGGCAGGAACAGGCCGGGCCGGGCTGGCGACGCGCACCACTGGCTTGGTGCGAGGGACAGGAACAGGCCGGACCGGGCTGGCGACGCGCACCACTGGCTTGGTGCGAGGGGCAGGAACAGGCCGGGCCGGGCTGGCGACGCGCACCACTGGCTTGGTGCGAGGTGCAGGAACAGGCCGGGCCGGGCTGGCGACGCGCACCACTGGCTTAGATCGGGGAGCAGGAACGGGCCGGACCGGACTGGCGACACGCACCACTTGCTTCCTTCTGCTGCCTAACCAGCTCCTCTCGCCGTGCCTCTACACTTTCCTTCTCCCTTTTAGCCTCCTGTAGCCTCGTCATCCACCCCGTGTGCCCGCCCCCAAAATTTTCTTGGGGTTGCCTCTCGGGTCTCCGTCGTCGGCACGGTTGGCGCCGTTTCACCTCTCCTGTCCTCGTTTGGTGGGATCTTCTGTCACGTTCGTTCATCGACGGGTCAGACCAAGGCGCAGCGTGATATGCGTACATGTTTATTAAATATTAAACACAACGACAAAAAAAACTAAACGTGAAGTCCAACATAACACAACACAACACAACACAACACAACACAACACAACACAACACAACACAACACAACACAACACAACACAACACAACACAACACAACACAACACAACACAACACAACACAACACAACACAACACAACACAACACAACACAACACAACACAACACAACACAACACAACACAACACAACACAACACAACACAACACAACACAACACAACACACCTTAACTGGAACAAGATCCCACAACCCACTAGTGCCAATAGGCTGCCTAAGTATGGTCCCCAATCAGAGACAACGAGCGACAGCTGCCTCTGATTGGGAACCACACCGGCCAACATAGATCTAGACATACTAGATCTAAACATAGAAAATACAACATAGACAATCACAACAAGGAATATACACACCCTGACTCAACATATAAGCGTCCTCTGAGTCAGGGCGTGACAGTATGAAAGGGTCACAGGAGTAAAATGAAAGGAATCAATCCAGCGTGATTTAAGTGACAAGTGGAATTTGCACCACTCAAATGCAGAAAATAGATAGCTGAAAAAGACAGATCCTCAGGTGGGCTGGGAATGCGCGTTGCTACTGAAACTAATAGAGATAAAAAGTAATGACGTATTTTTGTAGGCACTATCTCCGTCATGGTTCGTTGGACAAAGCCTATAGGGAAATGAATGCCGTTTTAGTAGTTTTTTTTTATAAATTCAGAAAATAAGGTCTTATGATATTATCTCATTGAACAAAACGTATAAGATCTCTTAAGCCTGTTTTAACTTCAGACTTTATTTTCGGCAAACCAGAGGTTACTCATTTCCGGTTTTTAGGACTACAAGCTGGCGAGCTCTATACTCGGGACCTTTAGAGTAAACGTAAGTAAAGTATGACACAGGATATCGAAACCAAAGCTTTCTAGGTTATTGAATGTTAATTAGATATATTGTCTATACTTTATCCAGTGTGCATGGAGTATTTTAAACGCATAATGCCACTTTTTTCCCTTTGATTGTCACAGAACCGCACTAGGTTCTTTATAGATGCAAAACATCTGTACAATCTTACTATTTAGATTATCAGAAGACTTGTATATGGTTTGAAAATGTTTACACAGTTTAAATGTGTATCTTGTAAGCCCTTGTATTCTTTTTTTAATACCTATTCTGTTTTGTACTTCAGAGTCTATACTTTTCTTTTATAAAAAGTTGCAATAATCTTGCATGAATGGAATGAGAAGTGAATTGTTTGGACCCACCTATTAGAGACAACCAGGAAGTAAAAAGAGTGGTGAACCCGCCTGTGTGCAGAGCTGCTGGCATACTGGCTGAGGAAGTGGGTGAGACAACGCAACACAAATACTGTCTGGCAACATGTCTCGACTTAATGGCAAGTACCATGAAGCTCTTCATAATAAACTAGCAATAGATAATAATTATATGGCTGCCTATGTAACTCATTGATGAGAGAGAGGATTGCAGCTTTTAAATGGAATTATGAAAAGCAGAGTGCTCTCTTTACTTTAGTCTCTTTACTTTCTCTTTTGCCATTGTCAAATTCAGTTTATTGTATAACTGACAACTATTATCAAATGAAGGATTGCGTAATACAAAGGTAAATAGATTAAATAATACGTTTCAGAGTCACATTCAGGAAGGTAATGCTGACTTTAACCCAGTCATAAATTATTGTAAGTGTAAAATCATAGTTCCTGGTAAGGACAACTGGGTGAACAAGAGTGAACGGATGAGTCATACACTGAGTGTACAAAACATTAGGAACATGCTCTTTCCATGACAGACTGACCAGGTGAATCCATGTTAAACCTATAATCCTTCACTCAGTGTAGATGAAGGGGAGAAGACAGGTTAAAGAAGGATTTTTAAACCTTAAGACAATTGAGACATGGATTGTGTATGTGTGCCATTCAGAGGGTGAATGGTCAAAACAAAATATTTAAATGGCTTTTAACTTTTATGGTAGTAGGTGCCAGACCCACTGGTTTGAGTGTGTCAATAACTGCAACGCTGCTGGGTTTTTCACACTCAACAGTTTACTGTGAGTATAAAGAATGGTCCACCACCCAAAGGAAGTCCATCCAACTTGACAAAACTGTGGGAAGCATTGGAGTCAACATGGGCCAGCATCCCTGTGGAACGCTTTCAACACCTTGTAGAGTCCATGCCCCGACAAATTGAGGCAGTTCTGAGGGCAAAAGGGGGTGCAACTCAATATTAGAAATGTGTTCCTATTGTTTTGTAAATCAATGAGTCATACATTTTCTCCTTATTTGTTTGTGCGGAAACCTCACACATGAATTCAGTCTTGTACCTACTGTTGATAGGAGATGTCATAGATGTTGATGCTGTTGTGGCCTTACATAATCTGTTTTCTTTGTGGATAGATTACAGATTAGATTAGAAAAGTGTATTAAGTGCAACTCCTCAATATAACAACATTTCATTGTTTGTCCTGAATATATACTGTTTTAACAATGAGAAGGAGATGCCTTCTTGGCAAGGTTTCTCTAACATGCATGTCATTTTAGGTACTGGGCAGAGTAAGAAATATTGGGACCTATCTGGTACAAAACTGAAGTCCCTCCCTCAGAGTCTCCTGGAGCAGGCTGAGGAGGCCAGAAGGTTGGACCTCCAGAGGAACAAACTGAGACAGCTCTCTGGGATCTCCAACCTGGTCCACCTGAGAGAGCTCAACCTCTCCAGGAATGAGCTGGTGGACTTTCCCCTGGAGATCAGATCTTTGAAACTTCTGGAGCGGCTCTACATGAACCAGAACAACATCAAGGTTATCCCTGAAGACATCTTCCCTCATCTGGGGAAGCTACAGTTCCTCAAACTCAGCACCAACCGTCTGCCCAAACTCCCAGTGGACCTGAGTCAATGCCACAGCCTCAGCTACCTCAACCTGTCCAATAACTGCCTGAAGGACCTCCAGGCACTGGTGGGGCTACCTAAACTCAAGGAGCTGTTAGTAGAACGGAATAGCCTGACTGAACTTCCAGCCCAGCTGTTCCAGAAAGGGAACTCGGAGCTGACCCTGTTCAAGGCCACGGGGAACCCGCTGAGGACCCCCCCAGAGGAGGTGTGTGACGGAGGGGTGAGGGACATTCAGAGCTACTTCGCCATGATGGAGGAGGAAGGCCCTGACACGCACACCACGGCCTGGACAGTCAAGACCATGTTCCTGGGTTCCTCCATGGCTGGGAAGTCCACGCTGTGTCGCAGCCTGAACAAGGGGGGGCCCGTGAGGGTAGAGGAGGAGGACAGAACGGAGGGGATAGAGATCAGTGAGATGGAAATGGAGGGGGTCCGGTTCCTATTCTGGGACTTCGCAGGGCAGGAAGAATACTACCTGACACATCATGTCTTCATCACCCCCAGAGCCCTCGTTATCCTCGCTGTTGATTTGGCCAGGTAAACATGTCAGTTGAGGGAGATCACTGTGCAGTTCGTGTTAATTTGTGGGAAACTGACATTTGTAATTTAACATTATAGTCTTTTACATTCTTCTAATATTTTAATCAACAGATAGTTTCGAAGATCATTGATAATGTTTTATTGATAGTACAGTATATTGATACATACAGTCGGAAGTTTACATACACCAACTCAGTTTTTCACATTTCTTGACATTTAATCCTAGTAAAGATTCCCTGTCTTAGGTCAGTTAGGATCACCACTTTATTTTAAGAATGTGAAATTTCAGAATAATAGTAGAGAGAATTATTTATTTCAGATTGTATTTCTTTCATCACATTCCCAGTGGGTCAGACGTTTACATACACTCAATTAGTATTTGGTAGCATTGCCTTTAAATTGTTTAACTTGGGTCAAACGTTTCAGGTAGCCTTCCACAAGCTTCCCACAATAAGTTGGGTGAATTTAGGCCCATTCCTCCTGACAGAGCTGGTGTAACGGAGTCAGGTTTGTAGGCCTCCTTGCTCGCACACGCTTTTTCAGTTCTGCCCACACATTTTCTATAGGATTGAGGTCAGGGCTTTGTGATGGCCACTCCAATACCTTGACTTTGTTGTCCTTAAGCCATTCTGCCACAACTTTGGAAGTATGGTTGGGGTCATTGTCCATTTGGAAGACCCATTTGCGACCAAGCTTTAACTTCCTGACTGATGTCTTGAGATGTTGCTTCAATATATTCACATCATTTTCCTTCCTCATGATGCCATCTATTTTGTGAAGTGCACCAGTCCCTCCTGCAGCAAAGCACCCCCATAGCATGATGCTGCCACCTCTGTGCTTCACGGTTGGGATGGTGTTCTTTGGCTTGCAAGCGTACCCCCTCTTTCCTCCAAACATAACGATGATCATTATGGCCAAACAGTTCTATTTTTGTTTCATCAGACCAGAGGACATTTCTCCAAAAAGTACGATCTTTGTCCCCATGTGCAGTTGCAAACTGTAGTCTGGCTTTTTTATGGTGGTTTTGGAGCAGTGGCTTCTTCCTTGCTGACGGCCTTTCAGGTTGTGTCGATATAGGACTCGTTTTACTGTGGATATAGACACTTTTGTACCTGTTTCCTCCAGCATCTTCACAAGGTCCTTTGCTGTTGTTCTGGGGTTGATTTGCACTTTTCGCACCAAAGTACGTTCATCTCTAGGGCGGTATGACGGCTGCGTGGTCCCATGGTGTTTATACTTGCGTACTATTGTTTGTACAGATGAACGTGGTACCTTCAGGTGTGTTACGGATACAGGTATCCTGTGTTTGAAAATTGCTCCCAAGGATGAACCAGACTACAATTGTTTTTCTGAGGTCTTGGCTGATTTCTTTTGATTTTCCCATGATGTCAAGCAAAGAGGCACTGAGTTTGAAGGTAGGCCTTGAAATACATCCACAGGTACACCTCATTTTCTGGAATTTTCCAAGCTGTTTAAAGGCACAGTCAGTATGTAAACTTCTGACCCACTGGAATTGTGAGACAGTGAATTATAAGTGAAATAATCTGTCTGTAAACAATTGTTGGAAAAATTACTAGTGTCATGCACAAAGTAGATGTCCTTACCGACTTGCCAAAACTATAGTTTGTTAACAAGAAATTTGTGGAGTGGTTGAAAAACCAGTTTTAATGACTCCAACCTAAGTGTATGTAAACTTCCGACTTCATCTGTATAGTTTGTTGGTTTTACTGACTTGGGCATGACCTTGCCTTACATGTGAAAATGTATCTTTGTAATGTCTCAGCTACAACATGGAAGACCCCCAGTCTTACAAAGAGAAGGTGTGTTTCTGGATCAATAACATCCAGCTTCGCGTCCCTGCCTCTGTGGTCTTACTGGTGGGAACTCACTGTGACCAGTGCCAAGACCAAGACGAGGTGAGGGAGAAGAAGAGACACATTGAGGAGAATGTTCGAGTCATGCTCGAAGAAAGGAAGGAGGTTTTACAACTACAGCAGAAGAACCTGAAGGACAATGCAGACCCCTCTCTGTTTTCTGAACAGATGAGCGAACTTGACCGGCTTATGGAGTATCATTTACAGGTATTGTGTCCTAATTTGAGTTTTGTAAAGAGTGTTTGATCTTTGAAATGGCCTACGGTTTGATCTGCGAGTATATTAATTGGTTTCTAATGTGTTTGCAGGTCCTGGAACTTGTACCTATTGACTGCACTAAGCATGAGGATATTGTCAAGCTCAAGGAGCACATTGTGAGGCATATCTTAACAAAGGATACATTCCCATGTGCTGAAAGGACCCTGCCCAAAAGCTACAAAGAAGTTGAGTTAGCCATTCATGACCTGGTGGGACAAAACCAAATACCTCAACACGGTAAGTTATTTCAAGTAAAAAACGGAAAAATCCTTCTTGAAAGTTAAAGGCTCTTGAATTGTAATTTTATATAATTCACTTTCTCAAATTACTGAATTGAAATTAAATCAACTTCAACCCTGTTCTGACATCTGTCCATGTTAGGACAGTCTGAAACTGTGGTTGTCCTAATATGGACACAATGAGGTATTATAACTCGGTCACATGACCAGTGGCGGCTCCTGAACAAATTCTCAGGGAGGGCAATTTTTCTGATGATTTAGGTGACCTACACACATTTTTAAAAAGATATGTCCAGCAACAACATGAAGACAGGGGCAGCATATAAGTCAATACCAGAAGCATTTATTGACTGATCTCAAAAGTGTTGGCTTACAAAAGCAAAATAAGTTATCACAGTAAAAATAATCAAGGGTGTTCTTTCACATTCCTCAACACTGCATAAACAATATGCATTTCCATAAACAAATGAAATATCAGCTGAAAATACAGCATCTTGGTATTTGTTCAGATTGCAGGATCAACAAGAGCTTTTACCACATTTTTTGATATCTGTTTAATCTTACCTTATGGCCTGCACTTGCTTGTGAAGCTGTCGAGGGCACGTTTGATAGAGACAGCATCGATGTCCTTCTTCTGTAGCTTCTGGTACAGAATGTCGACGTGGGGCATGATTTTGTGAAAAAGCCGCAGGAAAAAAATTAAATCTTCATCATGTAGTATCCTCACGTAGCCAGCTGCCTCTCTCAAGGTGTGCTGGTCAAATGAACCCAATGAACCCGTCCGGATGGCTTCAAAACATTATATGAGGTCGTCTCGATTCTCGTAGACAGTGTTCACGACTCTGCTGTTGCTAACCTCATCGTTGTGGCGGCGGACAGCTAGCCTGTATCCCTCATCCAGTTGAGTGGCAATATTCACTCTCCCAAAAGCAGACAATCTCAAACAGCTATATGTGGGTCTTTGACAGCTAATTTTTCTTAATCTTTTCTGAAAGATGGTGCATGTCGGTTACACCAGTCGCTGTCCAAGCGGTGCTGTCTGCTGTGCCGCCTTCAGGGTGGAAGAGTAAGCAGGGGTAGCAAAAAACTGCATTAGCTACATCGCAGCCTGCTAGCCAGGTTTTCCGTTCATACCAATTTTTGGAAAATCCTCGGGTGTAGGACTTCCCCCCTTTAGTAGACACCTGTTGAATTATTAAATTTGGTCTGGGGGGTCCTAATTGTTTCGTTGCCAATTTATCTTCATTTGTTCGCCGACAAAAAGGAACTTCTTTCAAAGACACAATCGAGTTGGACTGAAGCCTAGCCATTTTGATAGTAGTAGTGAATTGAATGAGGCTGCTACCTGGTCTTTTCTTAGTTACGTTCATTCGTGGTTACGTTATGTATGACGAAAGCGCGTAAGTGCAAGCCCACAGACACCCATAGAGAATGTATTGAAAGCTTTGAAATGTGACAAAACTAGATTTTACATGGGAGTCTATGACAGACTTCTGGGCGATTTTCAACCTGACTGAAATCGCCCAAAAAACGGGCGGGGCCATTTGAAGCACGACTTTAGCCTGATTTGACATTTAGTGGCTGGCAGATCAGACGTGAACACTGATAACTGCTGTTGCCGTGATATAATTTTTTATAAATTTATTTAAAAAAAATATTTTTTTTTATTTAATTTTTTTTTAAATAATTGATTAGAAAAAAAATCCCTTCCTTTTCCCGTTTGGCAGTGCGTCGCCCATATCGCCCTATTGAACAAGCCGTCCCTGCACATGACTCTAATCAGACATCTCTTTTCCTCAACACCAGGAATAGTTTCTTTTGATGACCTTCTGAGTGACCTCATTCCGCACCTTGAGTTGGGCGAGGAGAACGTCCACTCCATCCTACGTTACCTCCATCGTATCGGCATCATCGTGTGGTATGAGGAGATCCCTGCTCTGAAGGACAGGGTGTTCGTTCAGCCATCTTTCCTCATCTCACTCTTCAAGGTGAGACCTGAGGGTGACAGAAGGAAAACCTTTAAATTAGTGATCAGCGACACCTGGTCCAGGAGAGCTACAGGGGTGTGGAGGCTTTTGCTACAGCCCAGAATTTTAAAAATCTACTGACCACCTAATAATTTCCTGTCCCTGTAGCTCTCCAGGATCAGGTTAGGTGTGTTTTGAGTAGTGAGCACAATTAAGTAGCAAAGAGAATATGCTGTATTCTATTTGAATTACGGTGTTGTCTTTCAAGTCTTCTCCAGTACGGTGTCCATATTAGGACATCATATGTCCATGAAAGTTGCGTCAGAGTCACTCTGACTGCTGTCCTAATATGGACATCGTACTCCTATAACCAACGTCTCTCCTTTCCCCCAACCCAGACCATCGTGAGACACGACCTGGTCAAGCAGCTGGAGGCCATCCCCAGAGACGCGCTGCGGCAAGAGGGCAACCTGTTGGTCCACCGGGGCACGTGGGTGGATGACTTCAGGGAGAAGGGCACCCTGCATAACGCGGCCACACGGATCCTGGTACGCAGAGAACTGAGGCGGCTGGGGCTGGACGATGAAGACCTGGTGGAGGAGGTGGTGGGGAGTAAGACTAAGGAGGGGACCCTACTCAGCCTCCTGCAGCACTTTGAGGTCTGTCTCCCGGCTAAGGTGGGTAGTCCCCTGAACCCGGCAGCCCCGGAGTTCAAACCTGGGGAGAAGCAGTGGAAGTCATCCAACTTGGCCAGGGGTGATACGGACGGAGCTTGTCTCTTCCCCAGCTACCTGCAGGACAATCGAATGGTGGTGCAGATGTGGGGAGAAGACAAGCTGGACGATATAAATGTCTATGTTTACTTTCTACCTGAGGTCCCTCATGGCTTCTTCCACAGGTAGCATTGGAATCTACAGTAGTCTACCATTTCACTGCTCTGATGTTTCACTTTAATTGTCACACATTTTCCAAAATAAATATTTATGTTCTGTTTATATTGGTTTTACAAATAAAATATGTGGTTATTTAGGAAATGTATTTTATTTGTATTTCAGGCTGATCATCAAGACGTGCTCCCTGTACCCGACTCACTGGATAGGGAAGGACCACTGCCTGCTCAGCTCTGGAGACAAACTGGTGCTGATGAGAGAGAACAATAAAGATGGAGATCCATACATACAGATCCGCTGCAAGAGACCTGAGACCAGCGGTACAGTATGCTATTCATCTATTTCATCTGGAGAGGCAAATTAATGAGAATATGGGGTAAATTCAATCAATGTCTGCATAGTAAGAAAAGTGCTTGTGAGGACCTTGGTCTATCTAGCGCCCAGCTGATCACTTTTGGTTTAAAAAAAAATCCCATACTTGGTGTTCAGAAACATTTCCCAAACCGTCTTTTGCAACACTTTGAAGATGTCTTCAAACATTCTGAAACTGAAAAATATATATTTGAAGGGCGACTGCGCTTCCTGATTTGGCCTTGTTTTAATCCATGCTCATGAAGAAATGGCTGAAGGCAAATAAGAGATGTCTTGGGGGTGTGGTTTGATGTGGGTGTGCTTTGGGTGTGTCTTTGCCATTCAATCACAATAAACAAGCGCAGTAGTGAGTACAGCTAGGTAAGCTAAGCTAGTTTTGCTATGGAGAGAACAAAGTTTTGAAGTTGAGGACTTCTCCCCTCCCGACTGACTCGCCATCTCAAGATAGTCAGCTAATTCAGTTCTATGTGTAGGCTAAAGTCTGTGCTTACCTTGTGTTTAGCCAAACTGAGGGCAGCTACCTAGCATAGCTTGGTGATAGCTGCAGCTGGCTATCCTATCTAGCTGATATTTCTCTGTCAAATCAGTTATGGCAAGATAGCAAGCGCCAGTGTCTGGAATGTGTTTCATAAGACACTCGTTCTACAACGCCTTGCTACGAAAGTAGCTTGTAACTTAGTTTCAACGTTTCATCACATAATGTAAATACATGTTACAATGGAAACGATATCAACTACTGCCAGTTGAATGCCCGCGTGCGGTCTTCAGTCGGTTTAGCTGTTCTACAACCCAATATTCTATAACTGGCTAGTTTTGTCTCGTCTCTCCTTATGTCCACGGTTAGATCATTCCCGGAAGACAAATCCCAGAACTAATATCCCTACAGGTGTTGGCTACATGTGGACATTGCACAAACATCGCCCAGCTTGAGTGTACATACAGTACATCAACAAAAAAATCGATGGATGTGTTCGTGTTACAAAGACAAAACAGTTCCTGCTGTAAATATCATATTGATGTTCTTATAAAGACAGTATGCCTACACTTTACCTAACAAATCAATAATGTTGTGTGTAGAGTACAACTTCAGCTGTGTAACCAGAACTAGAATGGCATTTCTATTTCTATGGTCTATTTGCCAAAATGTAAGGATTTGGCTGTCTAACACACTGACATGCACAGCTCTCTGGGTGAGGTTCTGTCTTCAAGTTTCCAGAGAGTAATGAAGACCCTTCCATCTGTGTAATGTATTACAGGTTATGAACATGTGCAGTCAGGTGGCAGGAGGGGTGGAGTGCATGACACTCCATCCTGGATATGTCAGAGTTTGCCTCATGGGTCCAGCAGGCAGAGTTCAATAACTACAGGCAGATGTGAGATGCGGGAGGATGGCACTCTTCTCATACTGAGTAGCCTACAGAGTAATAAGAGAAGAATGCAATTGCTAAACTCATGTAGATATTCTAAAGAAAGTGTTTTGATAACGTTGAAGTGTAACAGTTCCATGTAGAATAAACCATCCTTCACATAATACTGTAGAAGCAGTGTTTTGCTAATATAACAATGTGCAAATATTACACGTCTTTCATCTTTTATTCTCATTCACAGCCGATACAGATACTGTACCTATCAACATTTTGTTTGGTGGTGCTGGGGTTACCTTGCCAAACATGTCAGCCGTCAGACACTACATGACCAAAAGTATGTGGACACCTGCTCGTCGAACATCTAATTCCAAAGTCATGGGCATTAGTATGGAGTTGGTCCCCCCTTTGCTGCTATAATTATCTTCCACTCTTCTGGGAAGACTTTCCACTAGATGTTGGAAAATTGCTGCGGGGACTTGCTTCCATTCAGCCACAAGAGCATTAGTGAGGTTGGGCACTGATGTTGGGCGATTAGGCCTGGCTCGCAGAGTGCATTCCAATTAATCCCAAAGGTGTTCGATGGGGTTGAGGTCAGGGCTCTGTGCAGGCCAGTCAAGTTCTTCCACACCGATCTTGACAAACCATTTCTGTATGGACCTCACTTTGTGCACGGGGGTATTGTTATGCTGAAACAGGACAGGGCCTTCCCCAAACTGTTGCCACAAAGTTGGAAGCACAGTATCGTCTAGAATACCATTGTATGCTGTAGCGTTACGATTTCCCTTCACTGGAACTAAGGGTCCTAGTCCGAACCATGAAAAACAGCGTGACCAAATCAGATTCATTGTCAGACTGTCAGATGGTGAAGCGTGATTCATCACTCCAGAGAACGCGTTTCCACTGCTCCAGAGTCCAATGGCGGCGAGCTTTACACCACTCCAGCCGACGCTTGGCATTGCGCATGGTGATCTTAGGCTTGTGTGTGGCTCCTTGGCCATGGAAACCCATTTCATGAAGCTCCCGACAAACAGTTATTGTGCTGACATTGCTTCCAGAGGCAGTTTGGAACTCTGTAGTGAGTGTTGCAACCGAGGACAGATCATTTTTACGGCTACACCCTTCAGCACACGCCGGTCCCATTCTGTGAGTTTGAATGGCCTACCACTTCGCAGCCGAGCCGTTGTTGCTCCTAGACGTTTCCACTTCATAATAACAGCACTTACAGTTGACTGGGGCAGCTCTAGCAGGGCAGATATTTGACGAACTGACTTGTTGGAAAGGTGACATCCTATGACGGTGACATGTTGAAAGTCACAGAGGTCTTCAGTAAGGCCATTCTACTGCCAATGTTGGTCTATGGAGATTGCATGGCTGTGTGCTCGATTTTATACACCTGTCAGCAACGGGTGTGGCTGAAAGAGCCAAATCCATTCATTTGAAGGGGTGTCCACATACTTTTGTATATATAGTGAACCTTCCTGTATGGTGTTGCCAGCGCCAGTAGCTCAGCTCCAGGCCCCTCTCATCACAGATACTGGTCATGAAGGAGTCCGACTTACAGATCCGACCCAGCTCCTATCACAGAGAAAGAGAGGGAGAGAGAGAAAGACTTTCACCATATGATCATGGAAGCCAACAGTAAACACACAGTTGAACATAGCCAATCAGAGATTATGATTCACAGCTAATTCACAAGGGACATGTCCCAGCATGGTACTAACTGGTTGACATTACTAACCCTGGCCCAGGAGTAGTCCATTGCGGCGCCATGGATGGAGGGCACATCCTTACAACGTACAAGACACAAACACACACAGCACATATCAATGGTGGTTATTTCCTCCATTATTCTGGAACGGGACTGGTGTCTGACCGTTGCCTCCTTTTCTGGTGATCTATAAAATATAAATACACATATAGAAAATACGCCCTCAAATGCTAGCTAGTTTGCTAAATGATTTAGCAAGGATCTTACAGTAGCTAGTCAGTTTAAATAGTTGGATGGTGAAGTCGATGTGCTTGGTGTACATATCCTGGAAAAGTTGACCGATCTTCTAACTATTAACTTCGATAGAAAAACGTAGCTAAATAGATAGAATCTTGAAACCGTGGAGAGCGAAACACCTATCCATTTATGGGTAGATTACCCTGATTAATTATCTATTGATTTCACAGTTTACATATTTATTCATGGCTCTACTGACTCCAGGAGAATCCTTTTTCAAATCATGCAAGAAAAAAACATTTCACTTTATTTGGAATTGCAAACCAGATGAAGTTAAACAAGATTATTTATATAACGAACATGAGTTTGGAGGGTTAAAACGATTAAATATTAAGGCATTAAACCTCTCTCTAAACTGATATATAAAACAACAATTGACACATCAATCCATTAGTTTCAATTTAAATTATTACTGTATATAAAATACTTGCTACAAAACAAATGCTCAATATATGGGGCATTGAACAGTCAGCCTTGTGCAGACTGCCACGAGGAAACAGAATCAATACAGCATATTTTTCTGGTACTGTCCATCGGTGGCTCGCTTTTGGAGTCAGGTATCTCATAATATCAGGGTTCAGATGGACCTGTAAACTGTATTGCTAGGGGATCTGAAAAAACATGATCAATCAATGGGAAATATCATTATAGTCTTGGGTAAAGTATTTATTTTTAGGGCAACATCGGTAGAAGTGTTACAAATAGGGAGGTTCAGGACCCTCAGAAGACATCACAGTAAAATGGAGGGATGTATTGCAAAATGAAAAATGGCATTATACTGGGAAAGATGGGTTAATCTGTGGACATCGGCAGGTTGGAGTTAAGATCAGAATGGCTGGTGGATTGGCCACTGTGGGTGAAAATCCAACACTTGCAGAAAGAGGAAATTAGGAATTAGGAACACCTTACTAATATTGATTTGCACCCCTTTTGCCCTCAGAACAGCCTCAATTCGTCGGGGCATGGACTCTACAAGGTGTCAAAAGCGTTCCACAGGGATGCTGGCCCATGTTGACTCCAATGCTTCCCACAGTTGTGTCAAGTTGGCTGGATGTCCTTTGGGTGGTGGACCATTCTTCATTCACACGGGAAACTGTTGAGCGTGAAAAACCCAGCAGCCTTGCAGTTCTTGACACACTCAAACCGGTGTGCCTGGCACCTACTACCATACCCCGTTCAAAGGCACTTAAATCTTTTGTCTTGCCCATTCACCCTCTGAATGGCACACATACACAATCCATGTCTCAATTGTCTCAAGGTTTAAAAGTCCTTCTTTAATCTGTCTCCTCTCCTTCATCTACAATGATTGAAGTGGATTTAACAAGTGACATCAATAAGGGATCATAGCTTTCAACTGGATTCACCTAGTCAGTCTAGACATTTAGCTAGCTAGATATTAACAAAACATAGCTACTTACCAACAACATTCCAGTCTCAGTTTTGACGGTTGACTGCCCAAGTAGAAGCTAGTTGGATGTAATCCATATTCTGGACATCTACCCAAGATTGTTGAACAACTTTATGGAAGCCCATTTTCACTAGAATAGCTATTTCCCAAGTTTGTTTTGCGTGACCCGGTGCCCTGGGTGCACAGGGTTTGCTCTATTTTGACCATTCCATTGGGCCTCTTAAGTAGAGGTCTCCACCCGCCCGGGGCACCGAGCCATGCAAAGCGAACTCGCCCAGTCTTTTCCCAAAAAACACAGTGCCACAATGTGTTGGTAGGCAAAAGAGGGCATGAATTGTTGACATAATTGTAATCCAAACCAAACCCTCAAGTACAGTAAGTAATGTCGCAGTCACTTACCAAACTCCGTTTTGGATGAGACTTCATAACCAAAATTATCCTATATAATAAATGTTTCTGACTCATATCAATGCCATATAGGCCGTTTTCAAAAAGAGAAGTTGGTTTTCAAGGGCAGATGACCTTTGAGCTCAAACTATATAGTTCTGCTATGAAAACCAAATATTTAGTCCTAATGAGGAAGAATATTAAAAAGTAGTCACTAATGTGTTGTAAACAACTTCATCTCATTGACCTCAGCATATTTCTCTTTTGCCAGCAGAGTTCCGTCGTTCTTGGGATTTCTTCCTGTCGGTGATGTATAAGCTAGTGGTGCTGTCTAGACAATGGCCTGGCCTATCCCAACATGTCCACACCCCCTGTAAGGAGAAAGGTTGCACAGCCTACTTCGTCTGGAGAGACTGGCAGGACCTCACAGAAACAGAAATCTATGAGCTGTAAGCCAAATGTATCTAATGTAATTGTTACTTGTCTATTTGTCAATGCACAACTGTATTGTAATTATATTATTGCACTTATTTCAAATTATAAATATGTTGTTTCTCTACCAATATACTATTAAAACTGAAGTGTGTGTGTCGAACAGTGTGCAGGAGGAAAAACAACTCTGCCGAAACGGACACACGCGACGGACCGAGTTGCTTTTCCCAAAAGGTACAGTATGTTTTTAATGTTAAAGTAAGCGGGATTACCTACTGTTTACAATTAATGCTTCCCATTCAAATACTGTGTGTGTTTTTTTTAGATCCTGTCATCAACAAATCAGAAGGATAATGACCAGAAGCTAGAAAGAGAACTTCATCAGAGGGAGATGTTTTCTTTTTCAGTGACGTCTCCAAGTTGACTATCTTACTATCAAAAACATGTTCCTTATTTGCAACATCAAAATCTTCACTCATTACAGTTTGGGTTTAGGCTTGAGGTCTCATTTATAAATACAAGTGCACAGAGGGAGCAACCATATTCATGTTTCTCTCTCAATATTATGAAAATGTTACTTTTCATATCCTACCACAGGGCTGCGCTCTTGCTCCATAATGAGAAAACAATTATACTGACGTACAGCTACACAAAACTGTTAATTGCAGTCCAGATATCCACTTTCTGATGCCTTACCCTCATACCAAATAAATAATATCAAGCCCCTGACATGACATACTCCTTTTTGTATTTGTAATGTATTTAATTTATTTATTCAATACTTCATTCCAGATGTAGAATGTAATGGGTTACTTGATGTCCAATTAATACATTCAGAGTGCTGAACGTTTTCTATGAGGATTGTACAATTCAAGAGTTTGAGGACTGAATTGAAATGGAGTTGACCCCAACCCTGGCTATAATGTTTTTATACTGAAGGAATTCTCTGTATGTTCTATCGTGGGGAAGGGGTGTACCTAACTGAATTACAGTGCCTTCAGAAGGTATTCACGCCCCTTGACTTTTTCCACATGTTGTTCTGTTACAGCCTGAATTTAAAATTGATTACATTTAGATTGTGTGTCACTGGCCTACATACAATATCCCATAATGTCAAAGTGGAAATATGTTTTTGAAATTTTTACAAATTAATTACAAATGAAAAGCAGAAATGTCTTAAGTCAATAGGTATTCAACCCATTCAACCCAAGCCTAAATTAGTTCAGCAGTAAAAATGTGCTTCACATGTTACATAATAAGTTGCATGGACTCACTTTGCGAGCAATAATAGTGTTTAACATGAATTTTGTATGACTACGGAGGTATCCCAATGCCTCGCAAATAAGGGCACCTTATTCCAAAACATGCATCCTGTTTGCAATAAAGCACTAAAGTAAAGCTAAGCACAGGCAAAATCCTAGAGGAAACCCTGATTCAGTCTGCTTTCTAAAAGACACTGGGAGATAAATTCACCTTTTAGCAGTGGTGAGAAAACTACCCAATTGTCATACTTGAGTAAAAGTAAAGATACCTTAATAGAAAATTACTCAAGTAAAAGTGAAAGTCACCCAGTAAAATACTACTTGAGTAAAAGTCTAAAAGTAGTTGGTTTTAAATATACTTAAGTATCAAAAGTAAATGTAATTGCTAAAATATACTTAAGTATCAAAAGTAAAAGTATAAATCATTTCATATTCATTATATTAAGCAAACCAGACAGCACTATTTTCTTGTTTAAATTTTTTTGACGGTTAGCCAGGGGCACACTCCAACACTCAGACATAATTTACAAACGAAGCATTTGTGTTTGGTGAGTCTGCCAGATCAGAGGAAGTAGGGATGACCAGCGATGTTCTCTTGATGTGTGTGAATTGGACCATGTTCCTGTCCTGCTAAGCATTCTAAATGTAACGAGTGCTTTTGGGTGTCAGGGAAAATGTATGGATAAAAAGTACATTATTTTCTTTAGGAATGTAGTGAAGTAAAAGTTGTCAAAAATATAAATAGTAAAGTAAAGTACAGATACCCAAAAAAAGTACTTAAGTAGTACTTTAAAGTATTTTTACACCACTGCCTTTTAGCAGGACAATAACCTAAAACACAAGGCCAAATATACACCAGTGTTGCTTACCAAGACGACATTGAATGTTCCTGAGTGGCCTAGTGTAATGGGTGATTTTGGACGGAGTCAGGCGCAGGACGGTAAATCACAGAATATATGGTTTATTCAGGAACACAGCGGTAAAACACTCCAGTGCGGGAAATACGGCGCACTGTAGAAAAACAAGGCACACGGGTGAATATCCCGGCGATACAAAATACAAAGAAGCTCCACCGAGCTAGAGTCACCTCCACAATAACTAATCACACACAAAGACAGGGGGGCAGAGGGAACACTTATACAGGTACTAATGAGGAGATATGAACCAGGTGTGTGTAATAAACAAGACAAAACAAATGGAATGACGAGATGAGGAGCGGCAGTGGCTAGAAGACCGGTGACGACAAACGCCGAAGCCTGCCCGAACAAGGAGAGGAGGCAGCTTCGGAGGAAGTCGTGACACCTAGTTACAGCTTTGACTTAAAATCGGCTTGAAAATCTATGGCAAGACTTGAAAATGTCTGTCTAGCAATGATCAACAACTAACTTGACATAGCTTGAATAATTAAAGTGCAAATATTGTACAATCCAAGTGTGCAAAGCTCTAAGGGACATACCCAGAAAGACTCACAGCTGTAACTGCTGCTAAATGTGATTCTAACATGTATTTACTCAGGAGTGTGAATACTTATGTAAATTAGATATTTCTGTATTTCATTTTCAATACATTTGCAAAAATGTCTAAAAACATGTTTTCACTTTGTCATTATGGGGTATTGTGTATAAATGTTTGAGAAAAAAAACGAACAATTAAATCCATTTTGAATTCAGGCTGTAACACAACAAATGTGGAATAAGTCAAGGGGTATGAATACTTTTTGAAGGCACTGTATATCACATTTCTATTTTCTTATTAATCTTTCCTTATTTCCCCATTGACCTGCTAAATTCCCATTTCTATCAACCAGTTGCCTCTGACCCACTTGTGTCCAACAGCAAAAGAGAGACAAAGAAAGTGTGAGAGAGAGGGTAGACGAATGAAGGTGAAAACATTGTGAGGTTGCTAGAAGTTATCAACAGACCAGTGCAGTCAAAAACTTCCTTTTCCTGTGTTATATGTATTTCCACACTATGAGGTTGGAATAATATTGTGAAATTGTGAAAATGATCAGACCACCTGAAATTTCAAGCTGTGTTGGTGGGATGGAGTTTTAGCCAGCCTGGTGACATAACCAGGCGGTATATTTTTTATAGACCAGTAAGAAAGAGAGTTCCAAACCGCTTTGCATATAACAGCTCGTTTTCCGCTCCCCACTCAGACCACTCCCAGTCCTAGTTTAATTATAAATGTTTGTTTCTTTTGACCATTAATGTACTTAATTGTTACCCAGACCTTTTGACCAGTAATGTACTTAATTGTTACCCAGAAATGATTTGATATTGAGATAAAAACATCTGCATTGGACCTTTAATGGGCTGTGTGTGTGTGTGTGTGTGTGTGTGTGTGTGTGTGCACCCTCAGATTTGTCCTGTTTTAAAAAAAAGCCACTTAGCAATTTTATGAAGTTGGCTTTAGTTAGCCTAAATAGGTTCCCAATCTCCCAACCTCATAACTAGCTAGCAATCAGGTTATCAATCAAGTTATGAGTAGCTAGCTTGTCTTACTATCTTAGCTGGCATGCCTGCTGGCAAGGTTCGTAGACTTCAGAACAGCAAATCATAACTAAATGTAGCAGAGATTAGGGCTGTTGCGGTGACCGTATTACCACCACACCGGCGGTCACAAGTCATGAAGGCATTCAAATTCCACATGTAATTAGGCTTCTCCAAGCTCTGATGCTGCTGCTGGTCATTAGTAGCCTACCAAACATGCTAACTGCCTGGTACTCAGCACTCTATTGTCCCTCTAGTCACTCTGACATCAATGCAAATGTTTTCGAAAATCGAATCAAACACTTCATGACATGAGCTCATGTTGCGCAACATTTCACATTTTTGTCATTTAGCAGACGCTCTTATCCAGAGCGACTTACAGTTAGCGCATACATTATTTTATCGAACCCACAACCCTGGCGTTGCAAATGCCATGCTCTACCAACTGAGCTACATCCCCTGCCGGCCATTCCCTCCCCTACCCTGGACGACGCTGGGCCAATTGTGCGCCGCCCCATGGGTCTCCCGGTCGCGGCCGGCTACGATAGAGCCTGGATTCGAACCAGGATCTCTAGTGGCACAGCTAGCACTGCGATGCAGTGCCTTAGACCACTGCGCCACTCGGGAGACTGGCGCAGTGCATAGGCTATGCAATTGTGTGAGAAAACAGAGTGGTGGCCGCTAATAACAAGATGAGGACCCCATCAGCTTTCTATAGGCTAGGCCAACTATATTTATTTCTCAACTATGCTAATATTGAGCACATTGCTTATATTTACAACAGGAGTATAGCCTACTTGACTGGCATGAAAATAAACCACGGGGAAAAGCGTCCTCCATTCGCTATTTCAGTGCATAGATGACATATGTTTTCCCGCTGCCCCTGTTTCGATACAGGTGCATGATAATGGTCCATTCTAAATCAAAACAAATTTCACACATACTGTATATTATTTGGTATATGTGTGACAAGTACTGAGCATATGAAGAGGCAGGACGCAGACATCAACAATGTAAAGGTTTGCTTAACACTGAGCAAGAGAACAACCAACGGACCTGTCTACTCAGCATGTCTCGGAACACATCATTGACGAAGGACTGGAACACGGAAGGTGCGTTGGCGAGGTCGTAAGGCATGACGCAGTATTCATAGTGGCCTGAGGTAGTGCTGAGTGCCGTCTTCCACTCGTCTCCTTCCTGGATTTGGATCAGGTTGTAGGCAATCCTCAGGTCCAACTTGGTACTTAAAGTACTGGGCCCCTCTCAGCTGCTCGATGGCCAACGGAACCAGAGGGAGGGGGTACCGGTACTTGGTGGTGACTGCGTTCAGCCCCCGGTAGTCAATGCACGGCCTCAGTCCTTTTTGGCCACGAAGAAGAAGCTGGTGGAGACAGGAGAGGTAGAGCATCTGATGAACCCGTTTCAGGGTCTCCGCCACATACTTCTCCATGGCCTCAGTCTCCGCTATGGAAAGGGAGTAAATGCAACTCTTGGGGGGTGTTGTCCCTCCAGCAGGTCAATGGCACAGTCCCAGGGCCTGTGAGGAGGGAGACACTTAGCCTTGGAGGCAGAGAAGACATCGGAGAGATCTGCATACTCACGTGGAATGTTGGGCTGGAGGGCGGACTCCGGACTCTCCACTGACCTGGAACAACAAACCACCGGCAGGCAGCTCCTCCGGCAGGAGGGGGACCAGGCTGTGATCCTCTTGGTGATCCAATTGATGGTGGGGTTGTGTAGTCTGAGCCAGGGCAATCTCAAGACGATCCGGTGAAGGGGTGACTTGACGTGACGTACTGAGGATCCGAAGAGGCAGGACGCAGATGCAGGAATCAACAATGTAAATGTAAAGGTTTACTTAACACTGAGCAAGAGAACAACAAAGAGCGAGTATTCGACAAGACACTAACAATCACACACAACACAACACTGAACAGTCCAGGGCTATATAGGGGTGGTGATGAGATGATGAGGTGCAGGTGCGCTGGAGGTGATTAGGGTGTGTTGGGTTTCCATTCCGGTGTTGCCGAGGTGGTGC